ATGCTCATTTATCTAAAAAACAAAAGGATGCCCTAAACAAAAGCAAATAAAAAGTGTAAAGGAATTATTGAGACAAGTAAACCATTGTATACATTGCAAATCTTCTGGTCACAACTACAACACATGTCTAGAGCGTGAAGCCAATAATGATCAACAAGTGGCTAAAAAGAAAAAACTTGATATGCAAAGTGAAGATTTCAATCCTATATTTCATTTTAAATGCTAACTTGTAATATTACTATTAAACTTTACGTTTTATTATCGTATTAGAATCCTCTTATGTTGTTTTTAGTGTCTCATATTTTAATGACAGCAATTGAAGTGATATAACCTAAAAAAATCCAAAAATTTAATTTATAAATCATGGAATATTAGTAGTAATGAAAGAATAAATTTGGAGGGAACTAATAATCTAAAATGTGCTACTTTATGTGTGAATGGAGGGAAACTTTAAGAGAGGATAATAAAACTGTAAATATGAAAAAAATAGAACAAGAAGCTAATTAATATGGCTAGTTATAATAAAAATATTTTCCATAATTACATTTTTATATGTAGGCATATATTAGAAAATCCCATAAACTTTTTATACTTTATAGTTCCTAAATGTTTCTATTTGTTTTCATTGTCTTATATTTTGGATTTTCTAATAGTGATATACAAAACTAAATAAAGGGTGTGAGGTCTTGGCCACCAGTTACTTAATTAGTGGGCATCAAAATTCTCTTAGACCAACTATTTTATAATATTAGCATTTTTTCATTAAAAACCTTAGACGTTCCTGGTATTCAAATAAGCGTTGAGTAGAACATATGTTTATAAAGGTTTATTAAATGATTTATTAAGGTAAGTTTCTATTAGTTAATATGTTTCTTGGCTGCTTTTGGTCTTTCGGCTATAGGTAATGGGTGATTAAATTGTCCTCCAACCTACAACTAATTCAAATGAAAGCTAAACTTCCTGTCATTTCTATTGTCAATTAATGACCTAATTTAATAGAGTGTTGTCATTTCTTGCATCTAACCCATAAAGTGATTAAATTGTCCTCTAACCCGCAACTAATTCAAATGAAAGCTAAGCTTTCGGCCATGTCTATTATCATTTAATGACCCAATTAAACAAAGTGTTATCATTTCTTGCATCTAACTCATAACATGATTAAATTGTCCTCCAACCTTCAACCAATTCAAATGAAAGCTAAGCTTCTGGTCACGCCTATTATCAATTAATGACCTAATTAAACAGGGTGTTGTCATTTCTTGCATCTAACCCATAAGACGATTGTGATTTGTAAACAACATTGTACCTTACCAACACTCACTTTTTGTATTGTTTTATGCAGCTAAACAAATTTTCTTCACACATATTGAAAAGAACGACTAAAAACATTTGATATTAATGAAATTGATGGATGACTTATGAAGAACACATAAAGAAGCTTAATGCAAGGAATAGCAACCTACTTCCGTTTATTTATTTTATATATCATCTTGATTTTAATTCTTTCTATTATGACAAAATACTTCCATTTCTTTAGTATGCCATCTTACTTTAATATCTATGGTTTATGATAACATCTTGTAAACAGAATAGAGTTAGCCAATAAGATCAGTTATAAAGAGATAATGTTTAGTTGTGGTTATCATATTATCTGTTGTATTCAAGATCCTATGTTTAAGGATCTATAAGCTGTAACTCATATATATATATATATATATATATATATATATATATATATATCAATATAACTCCTATGGGAGTTTTAAGCCAAATATTACTTTTATCTTGGTATCAGATCCAAAACTCCTAGGGTTCTGAATTTTCTCTCTTTTCTTTCACAAACTCTCCCCTGATCGTCTCTTCAGATCAGGTTGTATTATGGCTTCCGAAATCATTAATTCATCTAAAATCACCAATCATGTTACGTGCAAACTTACCCGCACAAATTATCTGCTATGGAAAGCACAAGTTGTGCTCATCTTGCGTGGAGTAAAGTTATTCGGTTACCCTGATGGAACCACAGTCTGCCCACCCGCTAATATCATAGTTGGAACCAGAGACACAGCTAAAGAAGCAGACAATCCAGCGTATGATGCATGGTTCACGCAAGATCAGGCTATCGTAGGAGGATTACTATCTTCCATGACCGAAGATGTGCTATCACAACTTAGTCGCTGTGCAGACACCTCAAATCAATTATGGCTCTCTCTACAGACCATGTTTTCAGCTCAACACAGAGGTAATTCCATTCAGATCAGAACTCAACTTTCAAATTAAAAGAAAGGTGACTTAAGTGCTTCCGAATACTACCAAAAAAACGACTGGACTAGCGGATACTATGGCCGATATTGGTCACCCCATGAATGATGAAGAAGTTATTGGCTACATCTTAGCTAGTAGAGGACCATGTCACGGAGACCTTTTCACAACTATCACCGTCCTAAGCAATCAGCAAGAGGTTAAGTTATCTGAATTTTACTCTTATCTTGTTGCACACGAAGCTCAGACACAAGCAATGAATAGCCCCAATGATTTTGCATCATTTGCCAATAATGTTACAAAACAGGAAAACCCTAACCCTCACAAAAATCAAAACCACGACTACAATGGTTCCAATAGCAACAACTCTCGATCCAACTATCGAAACAATGACAATCGGGGTAGGGCAGGTGGCAGAGGCAGGTACGGTGGGGGTCCGTGATGTCAAGTCTGTGGCATCCCGGGTCATATTGCATTGAATTATAGAAACCGATTCAACCACGCTTACCAAAACGAGGAGTATAGGAGCGGCAACAGTGCCACTTATGGCAACTACAGTGGAAGCTATGTCAATAACCCAAATTGGTACCTTGACACCGGTGCTATTGATCACCTTACGAGTGACCTCGACCGGTTGTCCAAACCCGAAAGATACAATGGCAAAGATCAAGTTCAAGTAGCTAATGGCACAGGTTTACATATCTCTCATGTTGGTCAATCTAAAATTCACATCCTAGGTCAACCTCTTCTTCTTAAAAATGTCTTACACGTCCCCCGTATTACCAAAAATCTTCTTTCACCTGATAAATTTGGCAATGATAATCATGTGTTTATTGAACTTTTTCCTAATGTTTTCTTTGTTAAGGACATAATCACGAAGAAAACCCTCCTAATCGGTAAAAGCAAGGGTGGACTATTTTCGGTGCCTATTTGTCATACTCCTCGTTATGTTGGGTCCAACACTAGATTTTCATCTTCACAATGGCATCAACGTCTTGGTCATCCTCATTCAGAAGTCGTCTAGTCTATTTTGAAGTCCAATAATTTAGATTTTTCTTTTAGTGAGTCTTCAGTTTGTGATGCGTGTCAACGTGCAAAGAGTCACCAATTGTCTTATAATAATTCTGATCATGTCACTTCCTCACCACTTGAGCTTATTCATACTGATGTTTGGGGACCAACTCAAGTGTCCAGTGGTGGTTTTAAATACTATGCTAGTTTTTTGGATGATTATAGTCATTACACTTGGATTTACCTTATTAAACGAAAATCAGATGTTGAACAGGTCTTTTATAACTTTCAAAATCATGTTGAGTGCCAACTTAATACCAAAATTTGTATTGTCCAATCTGATTGGGGAGGTGAGTATCATAAACTTCATCAGTATTTTAAAAAATGTGGCATTTCTCATCGCGTTTCGTGTCCACATACATCACAACAAAATGGCATGGCAGAATGCAAACATCGCCATATTGTTGAAACTGGTTTGGCTCTTTTAGCTCACTCTTCACTCCCTCTTCGTTATTAGGATGAAGCCTTCTTGACTGCCTGTTATTTGATCAATCGCATGCCCACTCGTACTATTAAAAATGATACACCTATTACACTTCTTCTTCTTCTTATTACTCCTGATTATTATTTTTTACGAACTTTTGGGTGTGCATGTTGGCCGAGTCTCCGAAAATACAATGCTCATAAACTTGATTTTCGATCCAAGTTATGTGTCTTCTTGGGTTATAGCTCAATGCATAAAGAGCCTTGTGAATGAACACATGAATAGATATGAATGATCTATATTATTAGCTAAGTCTTCTCATGCACCTACAGGTCCAGTCGACAATACTCCCAGCTCAGCCACATGTACTTCCGCTGCCATCCCAATTTCGACGATCTCGCCCTTGGATGTGCCACCATAATCGGTTGCTCAGCCAACTCCAACCATGGTCACAGCTCCATCTAGTCCTCCTGTTACATAGGTTATCAAAGATGCTCGCGACATTCCGGTGTCTCCTCCTCCGCCCTATCCTCCTCCGACGTCCCCTCCAGTCGATCATCCTTCTCCACAACCATGGTTTGTTACTCGAGTAAAGACAGACACCGTGTGACCGAAACGTTTTACGGATGGCACCATTGTCTATAATCCAAACCGGCGAGCTTTCCTGGCTGTACCAACCTCTCACAAAGTAGCCTTACTCGACCCTCAGTGGAGACAGGCCATGGAGGTCGAATTTGATGCACTTCAGAAAAACCACACGTGGGACTTGGTGCCTAAACCTCCTGGTTTCAACATAGTGGGATGTAAATGGATCTTCAAAACTAAAAAGAATCTCGATGGCTCTCTTGACAAACACAAGGCACGACTAGTTGCTCGGGGTTTTACACAACAATATGGTATTGACTACCATGATACTTTTAGTCTAATTGTGAAACTAGCCACTGTTCGGTTGGTTCTCTCTCTAGTTGTTTCGAAAAATTGGCACCTTTGTCAAATTGATGTTAATAATGCATTTCTCCATGGCCTCCTACATGAATTTGTCTACATGAAACAACCCCCCCCCGGGTTTGAAAACACTCATCATCCTAATCATGTGTGCAAGTTGAAGAAATCGATTTATGGTTTGAAACATTCTCCGCGGGCATGGTTCTCTAGACTTAGTAAAAAATTGCACAAACTTGGATTTCGCTCGTCCAAGGCTGATTCTTCTCTTTTTGTTTTTCGTTATGGGGATCACACTATTTATATGTTGGTGTACGTATACGACCTTGTGATCACCGGCTCGTCTCAAGCAATTGTAGATCAGCTTGTACAACACAAGTATGCGTCTGATATTCTTCATAGAGCTCACATGGAGAATTGTAAGAGTGTCTCAACTCCTATGTTTGTCACTGATAAGCTTGCGAAAGATTCTGGAAAGTTACTAAATGAAGATGATGCTTTTAAGTACCGCAACATGGTTGGAGGATTACAATACCTCACTTTAACAAGACCTGGTATATCGTTTGCAGTGAATAAAGTTTGCCAATACCTATCAAAACCTACTGATATGTAATGGGAAGCAGTTAAGCGTATACTTAGATACATAAAAGGTTTGATGAATACTGGGTTACACATCAAGAAGTCCAATTCAAAATTGTTAAGTGTATTCACAGATGCAAATTGGGCAGGCTTCCTAGACTATCGAAGGTCCACGGGAGGATTTGCGGTGTTCGTAGGTCTAAATTTGATTTCGTGGAGCTCACGCAAGCAACCTACAGTATCTCGTTCTAGTACAAAACCAGAGTATAAACCCTTGGCGAATGTCACAACTGAAGTAATATGGGTACAATCATTACTTAAAGAGCTTGGGGTATGTCAACCTAGATCACCGGTGCGGTGGTGCGGCAACTTGGGAGCTACTTATCTTATAGCGAATCCAGTTTTTCATGCAAGAACCAAACACATTGAAGTTTACTTCCATTTTGTCAGAGAAAAGGTAGCTGGAGGAGCTTTGGATGTACGGTTTATATCCTCTAATGATCAAATTGTGGATGGTTTTACCAAGTCGGTTACACATGCTATGCTCGAGAAAATGAAGTACAATCTTAACCTTGTACCGGTCAAGATTGAGGGGGAATGTAAACATAATAGAGTTAGCCAATAAGATCAGTTATAAAGAGATAATGTTTAGTTGTGGTTATCATATTATCTATTCTATTCTAGATCCTATGTTTAAGGATCTATAAGCTGTAACTCATATA